ATATTCTCATTCAGTAATCAATTATATTTTAGACTTACCAGCTATGAACAATTCAGAGCTCACACAAGTCAGCCCATCTGTTTAAGGTGATCATCCTTATCTTACACAAAATGCAAAAGGAATTCACTAGTGTGATTGTTTTGGGTTTAATCCTCTCTCTGTTTGTTTATTTATTTATTTACTATATTTATATAACGTCCTGAGCTCACTTTTCAGGACATTGGCCCTCAATATTTCTCATTATCTGACATATCTTCTCTTATTTGCATGCTTGCGTGCACACACACATGCACACACAGGAAAGGAATGAGGGAGAATCCATGTAAGAATTGGCAGGATTTTTTGGGCAGGGGCGGGGTGTAAATCTGAATTCTGTTCTTGGAAATTAGAATTCATTTCCCAAATTCCCAGAGGGGAAAGACATTATTGGCCTTTCTCACTAACTATAGGTAAATAGTTTCATCCCAGAGTGAGAAACTGGACTTACCAGGAAGGTTCATTCTGGGATGGCAGTAGGAGCAATCCACTATGATTGGATAGCTCCCACAAGTGTACCCAGGGAATATCAGAATCCAATGTTTTTTTCAGTTGAGTCATTAAGCCCCTGCCTCCTCCTCCAACAATTTTCTTATCAAGTCTTAACTGACCTAAATTCGCAGAACAACTTTTACTTAACAACTATTTTTTTGTTATTGTTTCTAGGGAGGGCATGGATTGCTCCTCCTGCCATCCCAGAAAGAACCTGTTGGAGAAGGGGACAGGGACCCAACTGAAAAAGAATAGTGGATTTGGACATTCCTAGAGTGTGTGTGTGTGTGTTAAACCCAACTGTAGTGGATTGCTCCTCCTTGCCATCTTGAGAATTACTAATGTAACTGTAAAGAACAATTGGATTCAGTGTCTTCAAGTCTTCAAAATTGCAAATCAAGACTTATTCTGAACAAAATGTGTATCTTTTTGTGCAGAATTTTTGTGCAGCAAACATGATTTTTTGTATAGAAAGTAAATAACGTTCCTACCGCTGATGGTGTGTGATACTTGTTGCTGGTATGCTGCCTTGCCACAGTGAAGCAGCCTCCAGCTCTTCAAGGGCAAAGGCCCTCAATAGCCACCACAGTCCCAGGTCTTACCTGGTGAGATGAGGTCTGGGCACCTTTGTGGACACATGCTGTCCTCATCCGTCATTGTAAAATTATATTTTTACACAACACTTCTTAAATGCAAATAATGTTTTTAAAAGCATATGCAATTACAAACAAATATTTTTAAAAGTGAAAAATGGAAGGGGAGAAGTGGCACAGTAAGAGAGCAGTGTTACTCCACTCTCTCAGAAGTGCAGCCTCCCACTGCCAAAGCTTGGCAGTCATGCAGCAGTGCAATGAAGACAGTGATAATGTCTATAAGTAGCTGTTATCCCAGGTCATGGGGGTGCTGTGGGATGGTGACTTCATGCAGTAATGACCTTATACAGTGTAAGGCCTGTTTCTTTAAAAAATATTCAAATACTTTATTAAGTAGGCTTTAACTGACATGGTGATGAGGTCTCCATGGCATTTAGTTCTGCAGTTAAAACATAAATGTAAATATTTATTTTAAGTGTATTATTAACATATAATGAAAGAAAGAAAATGAATATCCAAAATTTAATCATTTTCTTAAACATTTTATGTAAGCATATTAAAAACATTAGGGAAACTACAATAGAAAGGCCAATCTGCTCCTTTTTGTCCTCCTGTAGTTAAGTGACTGCAGAAGCTTGACAGCAGGCAAGTGATGGGAAATAGCAATCCTTTTAACTAACATGATTTCAAGTTAGAACTTTTCAAAGAAAATAGTGAAAGGAGCACAAACAGTCTGATGGACAATTTTTGGGTTTACTAGCATACTGTGGAATTGGTGGGGGGGGGCTGCCTTTTCAGTACAGAGCAAATCAACCATCACAATCAGTTTTAAGACATACTGCTGTATTTTTTCAAGGCTGAAACTGTGCTGTGGGGAACCCTTTGCAATTCCTTAGGCTAGTGGTCTTAACCAACATCACCAAAAGGCAAATTAAATCAATCTAGCTGTTCCCTTAACATTGCAATTCTGTTGTGGTCATAATTTGTTTGTTTCAATTTCAAACTTTTCCCTTTGTTGTCATTTACCTCTCGCTGTGGATCATAAGAAAAGCTGAATTGAAACGACATAGTATCTATTTCAGTTCTTAATGATAGTGCAGCTCTCCCTCCCCCTTTTATTTTATTCACCTCAAGCAGAAAAAAAACAAACAACCAACAAATACACCAAAAACCAAGTTTTCTTTAGTCAACTGCTGTTTGGTATAGATCCACTAGATGTCGTGATAGACCTACTTTTTGTTACCATTGATGATTATGCACCAGTGAAGCAGAGGAGTGGTAACATTGGAGAGACAATGGTCACAAAAAGAGAGGTAATCAGCAGAGAAGGAGCCTTTATTCCGGTTTACCCTACTTGACAAATTAACAGTGTTGCGTAGTGTCCAGATGACTTCTTCCAAAGTTGTAATTGAGAATAGTTGACTCCTGCGGAGTTTTCAAACGTGGCATGAGTACCACGACATCCAGATTATTGAAGCTGCACAGAAGATCCCCCTTTCTTTCTGCTGATTGCCATATTCAATTAACATTTATGGTGGTTTAATGGGAAACTGTGTGTGTCTGGCTGCACAATCTTTACTCATTCCATCATGCCTTAATATGTTCAGCAACCATTATCTCTAATATGCCATCTTGTTCTATGTGCAATGTGTGGGTGCATTTAAAATATTTACTTCCCTCTTCTCTTCGGTGTGGATGCAAAATGATTGTGTTAACAGGAATGAAGGAAGAGTAATAAGCATGTTGCCTTACAAACTGTGTTTCTCTGATATGTGATTGCTCATGTAATGATTAATGAAAAACTTCATAACAAATCAGTCTGACAAGTTTGTTCACAGATTTAAGACTGTTTCCTGCATGTTAACAAAATGAATTATATAATGATGCATGGTCTCCAGAGTAACTGATAGCGATAATTAAAAACAGTCCCTGAAATGCATTGGATCTTAAAATATGCCTTGTTCCCGTTCCATTATTGAGCTTAATAATATAAATTCTTGTTGAAGAAAATGGTTCTTATTTGTTATCCTCTCCTGTTTACCCCTTCCCCGATGTCTGATTCTATTACTGCATTTTGACAAAATACAGCTTGGATGAAAATGAATACCAGGGACTGTTACTAACCAAAATCAAAACGGATAAAACTGGTGGTTACTTTGGTTTTACTACAGCATTTGATTAGTAGAAATGTTTCCTTGAGAAGCAAAAAGAGCTATTTTTTTTAAAAAAGTAGTAATGTTTGGACAAAGATCATCTTGCTGACCAAATAAATATTTGATCTGGTTCCTCCAGCACCTTTTATGGAGTTGGGAAGAAAAAGAAATGTGGGAAGGGAGAGGTGGAAACTGCTCTATACTTTGAACTATTTTGGTAGTCTGAACAGCTACCTATCAAAAGCTGTACTAGAACCCCAGTTATTTTATAAATCAAGCATTGGAATATGATATATGGTGTGCTGATGAAGCCTGATGTTGCATGTTGACATATCTGAACAGCTGCAAGGTAACTCAAAGAGAATGCTAAGAGCACATGCCACATGAAATGCAAGTGAAGGTTTAGAGGAACGGAGTCACTGCTAAAGAAATCACTCATTCATCTCCCTCAGTGCCTGTTTTCCCACAACCATAATGTTTTCCCTTGCTTGACAAATATACTGTGTACAGCAAGTCATAGAGGCCTTAGAACAGGGCTTGACCCATTTGGGGTGATTTATATCCTCTTTTCTTGGTGAAAAAAAAAAGCCAATGGGAAATGTTTTAAATTATCATGAAATTATGATTACATCTATGTAAGATTACAAGCTAATTTTATTTATTTATTTTACTTTTTGGCCACATCTGCTCTTTAAGGTTTGTGTTTTTTTGGCTGCCAGCAATCTGTTTCAATGTCACTAAAATTAAATTAGTCCATGCTAAGCCATTACCAATAAATATGGTCCAGTGCCACATGGGAAACAATTGTAAGATGTCCTTTTGTTTCACTTTCATGCATTACTTGAAAAGTATTTTAAAAGAATTGAACAAATTAGGCTTTTGCAAAGACAACATGTTTGAAAAGATTAAATCTGAAGTGACTTCAAATTTGATAGCTGTCAATTTACATTAAGCTCCGTCAGTATGACTAAAAATGTCTTGATCCTTTTTGATGGCTTTTCAGCTTGCTCTCTTGTGGTGGTTGCAGGACTGAAAGTGCATTGATATGTACCAAAGAGAGAGGAGGATGAGGATAATGATTGTTTCATCATGTTCCACTGGACCCATATTTAGTGTGCTGCGGTGATGCCTTACATGTGAACTGCCTTAAATGTTGAACGTTTTTGCTGTTAGTTACAGCATCTCTTACAGGGACAGAATTTGATATTCATTCAAATTTGTCTTTTTTCCTAAAAGATTTATACTCATTAAATGGAATTATGATCTTCTTGGACATTGTTTAATTCTGAGAAAAAGAAAAAAAAATATTGTCAAGGCTCAATGTAGCTAAAGAAGCAGCCTAGACTGAAATAATTTTCATAATTGGCACCACCCCCCTCCAGTTTTCCCCCCTGGATGGTTATAGTGTCAGCAAGGGGGTGGAGAGTCTTTTCAATTTTCTGCCTTTATTTGATTCTTTTTATATTCCCTTTGTTCAAAACAATAATTTGTCCTGCTTCACCCCTAAATAGAATATAAAGAACCATTTATCTTTCATTTTACATTTGATGTACAACCAGAGTGTGACTGATAATCAGAATGATTTTCTTTTTTTCTGGGTCAAGACTGTCATAAACTAAGGCCTGTATCTTAAATCCCTTAAATGACCTTCCAGCTGCATTGTTATCTCTAACCTTTCCATTAACCTGCTGCTCTTCCTCTCCTCCCATCCAACCCATGGTTATAGCCAAGATGTCCATCTACAAGAGAATCAAACTGGCATGTTGTTTTGATTGCGGACGCTCTGAGCGTGACTGCTCTTGCATGTCAGGCAGTGTGCATAGTAACATGGACACCCTTGAGAGAGCCTTCCCACTTTCTTCTGTCTCTGTTAATGATTGCTCCACCAGTTTACGTGCCTGTAAGTTTTAACACCAGCACATGCTGTTCCATGTCTGTAGTGTCTGTGGTATCATCCCTGTCCTGTGTCGTACATCGTGGTTCTATTGTTTTGGGGATTTTTGTTTAAGCAAATTGGGTTGGCACATCCTTCCACTGCGCTATAATTTCTTTAATTTATATAGTTCTGTATTTATATATTTTGTAAGGGACTTCTTAAAAATGCAGTATTTTGATTAATTGTTGCTGTTCCAGGTGCTTGTGATCTTTTCAGAAGGGGAAAAAAATCAACATTTTGGCTACACATTTGGGGTTTCTGATGTTTTGTTTCAAATCATATGTGCAGTATATTGGCTGTTAAATGCTTTCTTAGCAGGTGTAGTAAAAGAAGCAGGTGGACAATAGACTAGATAAAGTTTCAATTGAAGTTTACGACACATTTGGAATCATTTTGACCTGTGCACAACCTGAAAATCCTGTCTAACATGAAGGACCCTCTGCAAATGACCCATTTTTTTTATTTTGGCCAAGTAGCATAGTTTGGCTATGTATATTTAGCTTTGCTGGTATTGTTATGGAGTTGGTAGAAGTGATAAACAATGTTTCCACTAGATAATTCTGCCTCAAAGTATATTAACTGTCACCTTGTGAGATGGATATATATATATATCTCCTTGTGAGATGGAGGGAGAGAGAGAGAGAGAGAGAGATATTTTTCAACGAGCAAGGGACCCCATAGCTAATATTGTTTTTCATATTGGTTGTCTCTGTGTGTGTCAGGGAGTAACACTAAAGTCCCCAATAATGAATACGTCATCTCTGCAACTAATATAACTTTGTTCTGACAAGGAATTGCTGGCATGGCATTGATTACTCCTAAGTAACCAGATTATGAGTTCAGTTGATCTGTTCTAGTCAGGACTGAAATAGGATTGGGACCATAATGTTCTAGTGTAGCAAAAGTTGGGAAACATGTCAGAAGTGGCACAAGAAGGATCTGGAGCTAGCAGATGCCATTTTATGATCTGGAGCTACCAGTCTATGTTCTGTCATGGAAATGTGAATCTGCCTTATACCTTAGATTCCTTTAGCCAGGCATTAGCTGCTGAGATTTATCAAAAGCTTCATAGGTTCTTTGGCTAAGAGGTCCTTCATATTCTTGCTACCTGAAATTGACTCTGTAGCCTTCTGTATATAAAAAATGAATGGTATTACTGAGATATACCCGCTTACGATGGCTAATCTTGACCTTTTTGCTTGACCCTAGTTCCATATTTGTCTTGTCCAAGGATCAGTAGTTTTGAAGTAATAGTCCCTCAAGTTGGCACAGTGTCCTTAACACCGTGACAACAGCACAAGACATGTTGTTTCAGCAACTGTGAGCTCTTCTTCGAGGTTGCCATAGACCCATCTTGGGAATTGTAGCCTTTGACAAAATAAAATTCTCAGATATAACTGTCAGATTGATAAGTTTTTCTTAATTCTCTGGGTGGTGGTGCATGCCTACACCTGGTGGAAAAGTTATTCATGCAAAACATAAATTTGGCATAATTATTTTGGTCTAAAGCAAATCTGGAGTTGTGTCCAGCATCTTAGAGGAACAAGTGGCATTAGGTCACCTGAAGTTGATGTGTAATAAGTCAGTGAGTTCCTTAGATATCCAGGGCTGTACACATGCTTCACTCTATCCAGCCTATGTTGACAGGAACAGAAACCTATTTCTGTAATTATTCCCCATGAATGAGGAGTTTCTATCAAATTTATTAACAGAGTCCTATCTTTTGTCACTGAGATAACAAAAACTACAATGAGGTGAAGAAACAAAGAGTGTGGAGGTCAGTTTGGATCCACCCATTACTGGCTCTTGTTCTGCCTACTGCCAGAGGCAGCTTGGGATGGTTGACTTCTAAGAGAATACAGGTCTTGACAGAAAATTATTCCCTATTCCACCCCTCTATTACAAACAAAAACCTTTTACAAACAAAAACCTATTACAAACAAAAACTAAGAATTTTTTTTTACTCTCTCATCTTGGAATACACCAGTTCCTTGGTTGCATTTCAGATAATTCATGCTTTCGTTCACAGCTCTTCTCTCATGTAGCAGAACTCAGGAAAGATGGTTAGTCCAAATATTTATGGTATAGCCTCTTTTTGAAAGCTGTTTGTAGCATAAATATTGATTTGGTTTCATCTGCAGATCAAGATCTTGAATTACCTTATTGTGCAGTTTTTGCATTTTATTGGGAATATGTGTTTTAAAATACAACACCATTACATTTTTTTCCTCTGGGCAAATATCAACTCATACACAAGCTGACATGATTAATTGGATTATCTCAAGAGGGGCTACATTCTGGATGCATCTCTATTGTCCAATTGATTTTTTTTCTATGAAAAGATAGGTTGTGGTTGGCTTTTCACTTTCTAAAAGTGTCATACCTACGTGCCCATAATTTCCTGAAACAATGTTTCACTCCAAATTGGTACCATTCTGGGGAAAGTAACACGTAGGCAGGCAAAGAGCCACTGACCACTGTTCTCTGCCTATGAGTTACTTATGATTATATTATCTCTTCCAAGCAGGCAGTTGCCTTTGCTTCTCTCACCTCCGTTTTTCAGAAATTTTAGTTAACCAGTGAAAGATAGGATGAGCAGAGATAAAGATTAAACTAATGGTGAAAGTTTGCCATTACTGACTGCTTCCCTCCTTTTTTGCATCTGCTTGTTGCTTTTTTCCTCTGTTTTTAGGGTATCCATCAGAATTCTTACCAGAAAGAGCTTAACTAACACTTGGTTACTTTTCATATGTGTGTGATGGATCACCAGGATCTTGGAAAATAAATCTCTCAATTAAGAATAAAATTAGTGGGTTAAAGCACTGAGCTGCTAAACTTGCTGACCGAAAGGACGCAGGTTCGAATCCAGGGAATGGGGTGAGCTTCTGCTGTCAGCCCCCAGCTTCTGCAACCTAGCAGTTTGAAAACATGCATATGTGAGTAGATCAATAGGTACCATTCCGGCGGGAAGGTAATGGTGCTCCATGCAGTCATGCCGGCCATATGACCTTGGAGGTGTCTACAGACAATGCCGGCTCTTCGGCTTAGAAATTGAGATGAGCACCAACCCCCAGAGTCGGACATGATTGGACTTAATGTCAGGGAAAACCTTTACCTTTACCTAATAAAGAAATACATAAATCACTTTGTTCTGATTTTGCTAAAATGAGGCTCCCAGTTCATTGAAACTTGGCACCAAAATGTTGAAAAAGTCTAGATCAGTGGTTCTCAACCTGGGGTTCCCAGATGTTTTTGGCCTTCAACTCCCAAAAATCCTAACAGATGGTAAACTGGCTGGGATTTCTAAGCCAAAAACATCTGGGGACCCCAGGTTGAGAACTACTGGTCTAGATGGACTTCTTTGAGAAGGTCATGTCATAAACAGAAAGCATATCTGTTCCACAAACTCTGCTTAGTAAACTCTGCCTGAGTGCCTTGTAATGAATTATCTTTCCTCACCTGTACCCAGCTCCTCATTAGGATGTTTATAAGTTCATAGCAGGGTATATATACATACTCATATGTATCTGCCAGTATCGCTTTTCATTTTTAGTACTAACTGTGGAAAGTGGGAAGGAACATTCTATTTTGGATTTCATGATCTCTTCCACCAAATAAGCAAGTTGCTTGTGACATCATTCTCTCTTCTGCCAAGTAATGCCTTTGAAAACCATGTTAACCACACATTATCATTCAGACATAAAGGTGGTATTGTTGGTTTGGGAGGTACTTTGCATTCTTTACTTGCCTTTTACTTGCTATTCATCATCATGTCATCACAGTAAAACAAATTTCATTCACTGTGTGAGATCCCTCACCTTTGATGGTTAGGAAGAAACAATTCACACATCAATATCAATCTGTGTCCTTTGTAAAGCAATGTGAGCTGATTAATCCTGGAGGTGTCTCCAGTTGTAATATCTCCATCTCCATATTCACTCACACATCCTTGAAATCCCACTGGCAGGGCTTCAATAGAAATCAGTGTTTTCCTTCTCGTGAAAAGAGGCCAGACAATGCCCATCTTGACAAGGGCTGGTTAGTTCAAAGAGGAGTGGTGAGAGTTGGCTTTTCATTAAATATGAGCATATGTGAAATGTGGTATACTTGACAATTAGAAATGGCGGCAGTAAGGCCCTGGAATCAAAGTGAGGTCAGATGGGTGGATCAGATTACCTCTCTTACATTCTTCAGTTGTTCTGAAAATCATTTTGAATTAGTGTCAGCAGAACCATGATTGCTTTTGCCCTTTTTCTTTCATGCTAAGACTGTATTGTTTCCCAAGACACTCATTAAAGGTCATTATACTATTACAGGGTTGGCTTTGGTCACACACCCCTCCCTTCACCCCATGAATTCTGTGTGTGCCTCTGAGATCTCTTAATGTGCCTTTCATCTCCTCTCTTTCTCTCTCCCTCTCCTATGTCATTTGCTTCTCTTTGTTTTTCCCCTATTTTTGAACATAATGTTGTTGTTGTTGCTGAAATAACTGAATTCTGTTTTTTTAAAAAGCCATATCACATTAGCCTCCATTCTGTGAAAAATTCCCCAACATAGCTCCATTGCAATGAATGGGAACTGTGCAAGAGAACTCCTCGTCTTCAGCTACCATCCTCTTTAATGGGGATTGCTTCGATATACTTTGACTCTTATTTGATTTATTCGTTTAAACATGTTACTTTCCTATCTCCCCACAGCTGAAGACATGAGGTTTATTAAACGTGTATAGGATAGCACATCATGTAAAGCTAAAGGCTGTTACTCTGGGTGAAAACATCAAGATTCCCAGATCTGCTATGGACCTGTTAGGATGTTATATAGTCCACAAATCTGGTGCTTCAGGGCTGTATCATTTTTTACTTTGAAGGAAGTGTTTAAAGGAATTTTTGATTCTCCTTCAACCTTTAAACAATCTTTTCTCCACCATCAAATCACGTTCCCCACATCTCATTTGTTTCAGATAC